GATAAACCTAATCAATAAATCATTATTACCCAAAGTCCATAGTTTACACTAATGTTCACTTTGGGCATTAATATTCTGTAGGCTTTGACAAATGTATAATGACATGCATCCATGACTTGATAATAGTACATCATACAAAATATTTTCACTGTTCTAAAAATCTCCCATGTTCTGTCTATTCTTCCCCCACCCCCATTGATCTTTATACAAATTTATATTTCTACAGTTTTGTTTTTTCCAGAATGTCAAAGTTGGACTCATACAGCATATAGCCTTTTGGCATTAGCTTCTTTCACTTAGTAATGTACATCAAAATCACTTTTAAAGAGCTGATTTTTCAGTTAAATATATAATTCTATTAGTGTAACAGTTGATGTTTCATGATGAAAAATCTGTGCCAACATTAAAGATATTAAATCATAAAAACATTTCCCAGAAACCTTTTAAAATGAAGATTTGACTTTATATACAAGATTTCTCTTTAGCAAAATATGCATGTATTGCCAAAATAACATATTCATTAGTTTTTCTATATTATCTCAATGTGAATAAATTAATTTATCTGATCTTAAAAGTTTCAGACTATAGACCCTTTCAGCAGACATGATCCAATTAACTATTAAAAAACAAAACAAAATAACTAGAAAAACCTCTCTTAGTATAATTAAACCCTGCCATGCTCCATTTCCTGATCATGTAGTTTCCTGATATGAAAAGGAAAGGCTCATTGAGTGGGAATGACAAAAAGTATACAGTATCAAGAATTACCAGGCTGCCTGGCATGGTGACACACCCCTATAATCCCAGGGACTCAGGAGACTGAGGTAGGCAGATCACAAGTTCAAAGCCAGCCTGAGCCATTTAAGGAGACCTGTCTCAAAAAAAAAAAAAAAAAAAAGGCTGGGTATGTAGCTTAGTGGTAAAAATGTCTCTGGGTTCAATCTATAGCACCACCCAAAACAAAAAAAGAATTACCAAGCCTTTTCCCATTCTTCAGCATGACCTTCCTTGTCTCAGTAAAGAACCTACACAAACTCTTGTTGCCTCTTCAGCTCAAATGAATTTTTAGCCAAAAAAACAAATCCCAGTAATCATTACTCTCCATTGTCTTATTCTTGTTACCTGTTTTGACTGAGAATTTTACCTAGATACTCAAAACTCATATCCCAAAGTACTATCAAACTTTTAAAACCTTTGTCCTCTACTGATAGGTACACAAATAAGATTTGTTTTTGTTTTTGTATCAAGTAATGCCTACATTGGAGTGTTATTTATACTTATTTACTTATTTTGCAGTGCTGAGGATCAAACCCAGGGCCTCATGCATACTAGGCAAACACCATTAAGCTATATCCCCAGCCCTGCTGTTTTTTTTCCCCCAAAATAAATATGTTCCTTTTTTTAACCTCTGTTTTACTTATTTATTTTTATGTGGTGCTGAGGATCAAACCCAGTGCCTCACATGTGCTAGGAAAGCACTCTACCACTGAGCCACAACCCCAGCCCCTGCTGTGTGTTCTTAAGGAAGCCATTCAACTTCTCTGAGCCACAATATCTTCATTTATATAAAGTAAGTCCCTTGCAATACCAACAACCTTAATTTTATAAAGGAGACACTGGCTGAAAGCCTTGAGATTTCGTTTATGACAAAGAGGACCCCTGCCAAGAGAAAAAAAAAATCACTGCAATTTTTCTGTATAATCCAAATTGCCTTTTGACATCCCCCTCAGCTCTACCCAAGAATCACTGTTCAATGGAGAAAAGCATGTAACAGGGAAATTTTGTATAATTTCATTCCTTAGTGTTCCTGTTATTGACATTTCCCCACATGACAGTTGTTCTTACAACTTCTCTAGGTAAGTGATTTTTAATGATAGTCTATCTGGAACTATCTTCTCAAGACCCAATTTAACAGTTACTTTTTGAACCCCACAACCTTTCTTTTCTGTCTTCCCCACCTCATATACATAGTAAATTTGGATAACCAGTAACCAGTTCTACCACTACCATTCACTGACTACCAACCCACAGGCCAAGATTCAAAGGTTCTTCTTTTAATCCTTACAAAACATCTAAAAGGTTAGTTGTCATTTTAAAAACAAGGGTACAGACTCATAGAGACCAAGTGAAAAATAAGTGCACAACTATGAAGAGTTAACTCCTTGACTTGAATCCTATACCTGACTCAGAAACCTCACCAGGTCACAAATGAATATTAACACTATTTAACTTCCCTCTGATGATTCTAAACAGTTTAGAAAGGGATAAGACATATATTTCTCTAACACAGGAGAGAAGGACATAAAGATGAATAATGATGTAAGTATGTCTGGAAGGGAAAGAAGCTGAAGAAGTTCATTGCTGCTAACTTCCATTCATGCAGAAAATGAGGAATCCAGAATTCCAAGTAAGAAAAATAGTATTATTTTAAGGCCACATCTTGAAAATAATAACTCTGATTGTTTAACTAGTTCCCATTTACCTCAATTCCTACCATCATATTCCATATTCCTCATTATATTCTATATTTAGGCAAAGTCTTTAAAAAATGACCTCCCCAAATTTTGATTTTAAATTTGTAGGAAAGTTGAAAGAATAACAAAAATCACACACTTAAATACCTTTTACCAAGATTAACCTGCTCATACCATTTTGCCACAAATTGCTAAATGTCTTTCTCTTCACACATGGTTTCGGCTGAACAATTTGAAAGTACACTACAAACATGAAAATTCTCTAAATAATGTAGCCTGCATTTTCTAAGAAAAAAGGTTATTTTCCTACATATTCATAACTATCACACCTAGGAAAATAAGCAATTCCTTAATATCATACAATATATAGTCCATATAGGTTAACATGGTACACTTGATTGTTATATCTATGTCTCTGTCTGTCCCTCTCTGGCAGTGCTTGGGATCAAACCCAGGGCCTTCTATGTATTAGGCAAGTGTTCTACCACTGAGCCATATACCCAGTCCTATGCCTGTTTAATCTAAGACCATCCCCTTAATTTTTTTGTTTTGAATTTTAAAGAGTCCAAGCCAATTATATTTTTAATGTCTCACACACAGAATGTCTGATTTTTTTTTCTTGCATTAGATTAAGGTTAAACATTTTGGTAAGAATCCTATATATGTGATATTGTATACTTCTCATCATGTCAAGTCAAGAGGCACATTATGTCAAGTTATCCCACCACTGGTTAGGCCAAGTTTGATCACTTCACTAAAGTGGCACATGTCACAAAGGTCTTGTAAAGGCATATATTTTATTTTGTAATTTTTAAGTAACCTGTAGAGTGATATTTTTGAGTAGACATACATATGCTATTCTCCAACAATCTTGAATTCAATAGTTTTAGCATCCATTGGTGATCCTTGCCTAAATCAACTGTTATGCTTGTGCTGCAAAGTGGTGATTTTTTTCCTCACTAAATTGTACAACTAAAATGCTGAGTTTTATGGAATATAAATTATGCATCAATAAAACTGTTTTTTTAAATTAACTCAGTAACTTGCAGTCTGTATCTGGTCCACTTCCTGCTAGCCTACTTTTCTGCCAAGAAATGACTGACAGTTGAAATATTTTATACATGAAACAGGATATTCAAGATCAAGGTGAACTTAATAAAATAAAAGTGTTCTGCTGATTTAATGATGGTTTCTGAATTCTATCATTTCTTCTATAATTATTGGTTGGCATACTTTTATAAAGACATTCTCCTTTACTTCTTATTTCTCTCTCTCTTTTTGGATTATCATTGGGAACTCATGGTAACATATTATAATCTATTACTTTTGTTATTCTTTTTCATGTTTAAATATACTAATGTGTCAGCAGGAATCCCTTGAAGTACAATCTTGTATCCTGATATAACCTCATTAGTCATTTAACAATGTTTGCTTTCTTGAACAAAAAGTCCGAAACTCACCCTGTACTTTCCTTGCCTGAGATCAGATAGTTAACCAAAAAGATTGATTCCTTTTAGTGGGAATGGTATTTAGAAACCAAGAGCTAGGTACTGGGTATGCCCATTACTACTGAGGTGTCTTTCATTGCTTCTAGGCCCTGTCTGTATATAGAACAAAGGAATAAGAATATTTACAATTCAAATTTATAATACAAATATAAAAGGAAAGAAAGATACTAGTATCTCTTTTATATTTTAATGAAGACACTAATTTTTATTATCAGTTATACACACACACACACACATTTGCTTTATTCTACCATATACATAAAATGGTAGCAACATTGGTATCATAATTTTTTAACAATAAATCTATTAAGAAAGGTTTCTTTTGTTTTTTTGTTTGTTTGTTTGTTTGCAATACTGTAGATTGAATCCAGTGGTGCTTTACCACTAAGCTATATTCCCAGTCCTTTTCATTTATTTATTTTTGAGACAAGGTCTTGCTAAATTGCTTAGAGCCTTACTAAATTGCTGAAGATGGCCTTCAACTTGCAATCCTCCTGCCTCACGTTCCCCAGTCACTGGGATTACAGGCATACACCACCGTGCCTAGCTCCATTAAGAAAGTTTAAGATTTCTCTGCAGGTCTTTTCAGGTAATATCATATTAAGAATACACTACCAAGAATACTATGTTCAAAAGTTATCTGAATTGAGTGATTGTTACAGTTACGTACCTTTGTTTAGTTTTAATGTATATTCCATGTTAGTATTTGTCTTTCTTCCAGTTAATTTTGGCTTAATTATAATTTTTAGTATATAAAATATTTATATGGTTCCCAAATCAAAAACTGAACAAAAGGTATACTTCAGAGAAGTCCTGATTCTATCCCAATACCCTACATCTCATTCCTGTCCACCTTGTATTTTCATTAATTTCCAGATAATTCTTCAGAACTAATGGTAGGCATGAGTTAAGCAACACCCCTAAAACTGAGGTATTATGTGAGTATGGTCATGGAGCACACACCATGACTTATAACACATTATAATAAATAGAACCTGGTATATGAATAAACTCCCACCTGAATTCTGATTAATCCACTGCAGAGAGTCCAGATGAGCATTCAGAATTTTGCAGATGTGCTGGAGCTAAAAATACATCCAATACTTTTAGATTATGATTATTCAGATGTGGTCAACAAAAAAATAAGTAAATTGAAATTAGGAAGTGATTTTTATTTTTTCTGGTAAGACATGGACTGAGAATAGACTAAATATTAATGAATTTTTGTTTCTTTTGCTATTTCATATTTAAAATGTTCATTACTTTTACATATTAGTACAATGCATTTACTTTTTTTAACTGTCAGGAATGAGACTCCTACAATTCAATAAGAAAGTGACTACTACAGCATAAAAATAAAGAACATTAAGAGACATTTCATAAGAAAATAAATTCATATAAAAATTTAAAAAGCAACATTTATCAATCAAATCAGTATTTTTTAAATGTGTACTTAATTGCCAAGTACAGATTAAATATCTATTATCCAAAATGTTTGGGGCCCTAAGTGTTTTAAGCACTTGATTTTTTTTTTAATTGTGAAAGCTCTGCATATTATACAATGTGATATCGTGGAGATAGATCCAAGTCTAAAAACATTATGTTTCATATATACCTCATACACGTAGCCTAAAGATAACTTTACACAATAATTTATTATGCCTGTGTTTTATTTGCTTGTTTGTTTGCACTGCTAGAGATCAAACTGAGGGTGTTATGCACACTAGACAAGCACTCTACCACTGAGCTACATCCCCGGTCTAGCTATGCATTTATTTTGATTGTGACCCATCCATGAGGTCAGGTGTGGAATTTTTCACTTGTGTTGGCATGTCAGCACTCAAAAGTTTTGATTTTGAAGCATTTAAGATTTCAAATTTGCACATTAGGAATGCTCAATTTATATGTGGGAAAAATACATACATTAATATATAGCCAATAGTAATGTAAATTGGCTCAACCTTTTAAAATATACAATTTTATAACATATATCAAAAGTTTAAATAATCATACCTTTTGAATCAGCATATTGTATATATTTCCAGGAGTGTAGCCAGAGAAAATAATCAAATCTAAATATAAGTGGTCAGTACAGGGCTGTTTTATATTGACCCCAAATTGTAAAAATATCTATACCAATTAAGAAATGACTAGATATATTATGGTAAACTCTCCTCTGATAAAACTATTACAACTTTGGGAAAGCACCATGAAACAAGATTAAATAAAGACAGAAAGCAAAAATCTATATGGTATATTTCCAGTGTTGTTTTCAAAAAAAGAACCAGCATAGCAAAGTGACTAAGAAGAAATACACCAATATAATAGCAGGTTACTAGTAATATATGTGATTTAATTTCCTTCAAGGATTTTATGAGAAAATATAACTGAATAAGAGAATAATATGGATTTGTTTAATAAAAACTTTAATTAAATATTAGGTGGTCTCTCCCATTACTACCATACCCCCTTCCTTCCACCCCTGCCAAATAAAAGGGAAATAAAAACAGGTTAATTCCCTCACTGTGAATAGGAAAATAGTTGCTATTTTTATACCCTAATATGTGGCCCAATATAACAAAGCTTTGTTGATGTATACAATCAATTATTTTCAGTAATATTATTGTTCAGAAGTGTTTTTAGTGTTTTTTCTGCTTCCTGTCTGATGATTTATGAACAGGAAGGAAAAAAGGGATGAGTTGTTGAAGATCTATTGCTTCTTTTGTCCTGCCCTTAAGCAGTAATTAAGCTTTAACTCATTCATACTAAACATCCCAATCACCTCTGCTAGGAACACCAAAACCAAAAAGACTCAATGATTCACTATTACTAGAATAAAATAAAGCAATATTGGGCTTAGTTGAGAAAAACAATGAAGATAAGATTACAGTAACCTTTTACTTGTTCTGCTGAGAACATTCTTCTCATATTAAATCAACAGAGGGACTAGACACCAGCTCTGCTTCATGTCTAAATCTACATGTATTTATTTATGCATCAAAATTTTATTACAACAAAACAATTTTGAATTTTGGAATCACAATGGTGATCTAATATTTCATTAGAACAAAAACTACTTTGTTAATGTTTGATCATTTGTGTGAACATAGGGAGATGTCAGCATGGGTAATTCCTGACTGATTCATATTTGTCTTCGTTCAACTTTAAATCCACCTGAGTAGAGAATGGCATAATTTTCATAGCTAGAAGGGACTTAAAGAACATTTATTCTATCCTTGACATTTTGCAAAAGAAGAAACCCAGACCCAGAGAGATTAAATGACTTAAACAAAATTCTAATGCTTTCTCAACTATAACATGCTCTTTATGATTAAAAAGCGAGTAATATGTATGTGGATTAAGAGTGGTCTATATATATAATTGGAAAAAGAACTTACTAAAGAATAATCACTACTTGTACATATGTCATTCATTCTCATCTACCCAGACCTTGGCTCTACTGCTAGTTATAATTAGCTGATAGAAAATATAATAGGAACTCCCACAATATATGATTCCTCTTACTGCCATGGAGTGAGAATAGGAAAAAGAGGACTCTATTTAGCTGCTAAGACAATGAAGAAAGCAGAGGAAATAAGCTCTTTAATGAAAATATAGAAAAATCAAGTAATACACTTCTTTCTTAACACCTAATGAATTCACAGCATGTCTATTCTAACTGAAGCCTCAGCTTTATTTTCACATGATATAATACATTTACATTATGGGGCAGGTAGAAACCTAATGACCACATTTACCAAATTTTCAATGAATAAATATATGTTAAGTCTCAACAGTTAACTCACCAGATTTTAAAGATATTACCTACTCATAAATTAAGGATTGCCTGAATGTCTAAGAGACTTGAACTTATCTATTCACATTTATATGAGAACATAAATACATATGTAAAAAGAATAAACCAGATGATAAATAAGTGAACAGAAAAGTAAGTACAGGGAAACATATTTAATTATGCATACAAAGGAGAAAACCCTAAAAATATCAAGAGTAAAGAGTAATTTTTTTCACCTTCCTAGGAATAACCACAAAAAAAATCATAATCATCTCTGCTTCTAAATATCTCCTGTCCCACTAACCAAAACCAAGTGCCTCATATGTCTATGCATCAAAAAAAATAAAAATAAAAAGCTCTGTTATGGAGGACAGACAGTGACTAACTAAAAAAATCCATAGAATGGTAATTTCATACTACATTTTGACTGTCTAGATATATAAAGCAAAAAACATACCCGATCAGTAGTGGCAGCAGGATTTCCAAATGTATTCAGGTGACCAGTAATGTCCTTGAGATCTTGGGACATTCGTTTCAGCTGAGCATCTATAGTTTCTGCTAATTTGTAACTGCAAAGGCAGGTAAATAAATTAACATGAAATGTTGTCCCCATATCTACTGTTATTTACATACAAAGATAATACTGTCAACTAGATTTGACTCAATTTCCCTACCTTCTCAGCGGGTATCAGTTATGACCAATGGCATATTTTTCAAGGATATAATGTTCACCATCCTATTTTATGTAGATTTTAAAAGTAAAAGCTTTTAGCTGCATTGCCATTATTTTAATTTCACCTATGTACCATCTTGCTAATGCTCTGGTGAGCAAAGGAACTCTTTTTCTTTTTCTTCCTTTTTTTCCAGTACTGGGGTTTGAACCCAGAGCCTCATGCATGCTAGGCAAATGCTGTACCACTGGGCTATATCCCCAGTCTCAGAGGAACTCTTTTTAATGACAAAATACATCAATAGGACATTTAGATATCCAAAACAAGTTAGTGTTTAGCAAATTTCAAATGCTGAGATTTCTTCAATGGTCATAAATACATAGATGTCCAAGGTAAAACTTTATATAAATATATTCCACCAGGCAACAAAAGCTATTTTGTGAAATAAGCTTTATAATTATAAAGGTAGAGCTGGTGGTGGCATTTGGGCTCTGAGGGTTTTTCCTGAGGAGCTTTTTTGTTTGGCGTGTGGTTCTAAAAATAAAGTTCGTTTCTTTTGACAAGTGGCTCCTGAATCCTGCCCAGCCAGACTGCGGCATTTGGTGGCTCGCACGGGGAGTGACTGAGGTAAGTAAACTGCTCGCCCCTGAGGGCAGGGCAAGAGGATGAGTAGCCATTTTAAGATTCCTCTTTGGTTTTGCTTCATTTTTGTTTTAAGTTGCCTGTCCCTGGAGATGAGTGAGA